AACACCCAGGGAATATGGTGAAACTGTACTGAATCTCAATTGTTAAGAAGTAGCTATGACAAACTGTGAGTCACGTGAATGATGTCGTGTTCTGTGTGTGTGTGTGTGTGCGCGCGCGCGCCTGGTGTATCACACGATAGCATCGAACAGATGCACAGAATGGGAATTTGGAAACCCCGAGGAAACGGCCGGATTGTACGTGGCCATAGACCACTGCTTATCGGATTTGTGAATTGTACTAGCTAGCGCAAACGAAATTCGGACCAATACGCATTGTGGATTTTGGATTTTACACGGGCACTGTGCCAGACGACAACCCTCGAGTATAAATGAATGGGACTGGAGAAACACAAAAGTTAATGACCAAGTCAATCGTTTGTAACGAACGTTCAAAATAAGCTAGACAGTTCAGAGTCGATATAGGTCACCATGCTCGCACCTGTCATAATTAAAGATGCACTCGAACATGGACGAGGTGAAACGAGATGGAGGGCGCAGGTGGGAGGGTGGGGGGGGGGCAATGCGACTTGCAACACAGGGAAGGGGTTACATCACTGAGTCAGAGTAAAATTACCCCATTTTGAGAAAAATTCAACTCCCACAGATGTGAACTCTGTCGTTAAGCAGTAGAACCAGTCCAGTCGAGCAAATAATAGACTTGGAAAACCGTGTTATGCATTCAGGTGTTACTGTGAAAGATTTAGGTTGGAAAGGAAAATAGTATGACTAAGCACTAGTGTGTACAGTGTCAGAAGCAAATGGATGAGGAAACACCGAAGACAGCACATGGACTATACAGTTGCTACACTGGCTCAACAAATACGATCACATTCATTTACCGATTCATGACCTCCCTCAACATGCCGCGACTGTAATGATGAATCCCTCTAGTAAGGAACAATCTCCGGCAAATGAGACCAGGTATCAAATTGTGCACGCACAGATGTTTACCGAATCATCATAATGGCCGCTGGGAGTAAAGTGAACAGGAATCTGACAATGATGATCAAGCAACCTCAATCAATTTGCGATACACTCAAAGAGACATAGAAGGTCGTTCTGAAAACATACAGAATAAAACGGCAAAGAGTGCACCGAAAAATGAATGAAAAAATTGTGTTTAAATAGGGGGAATATATTTATAAAGTGCTGCCACTGACTAATAAGTGACAATGATAGACTGTATCAACGTTGGAACGTTCAACTGGATACTAGATGTGAGTATCGGATACCAGTATATCCTGAAGTTCAAGGTCAAGCTGAACGGTTTCGGCTGTATTTACCAAACTTACACTGTGCCTTCCAGAGAACAAAATACAAACCCCCATTGACTGAGGGTGCTCGAGGTCAAAGCAAGCACCGATAGCACAACAATTTAGACACAGAATTGGCATTAAACGCAATAAACGTCCTTCAAAACGGTTGAACTTTGATATCGATTATGGTGGATCCCCACTCCACGCCCCCAATCCCACTGAGAGCATATCACCGAAGGAAATGTGAGTGCTCCATTAGCTCCATTAGATCAGTACGACTGTGAACTAAACTGTGCAGATCTTATAGAGATCCGGTGATTTTACCGGGTTAATCTTTCATTCAATATAATGGGAACAGGTTTCATAAATTCGGTCCCCTTTGAGTAATTTCATTAGAGCGAGAACACGTATCGTCATCATCATAACCGCCACCGCCACCACCACCACCACCAGCACTACCACCACCAGCACTACCACCACCACCATCATCATCATCATCATCATCATCATCATTATCATCATCATCATCCGCACAGTGCCAGGTTGAATTCAGTTGTGTTTCGCGTGATCTCCTCAACTGTGCGCACAAACATTCACCTGTGACAATGTCGATCAATAATGGATTTAGAAACACCAAATCAAAGCGAAACGTCAAAAGCCACCATCGAGGTATGGTTTGTGACACCGAATGGCTACGGTCTCAACAAACAGCGACATCGGCTCAGTCTTCTGTCTCCTTATTACTCAGAATGCTTGCCTCAGGTCGAGACAAACTTTTCAGTCCAATAGATGGCGGACTATAGAGCTTTCGATGTACTTGCTACTGCAACTAGATAAACAAGTGGGAAAGTAGGTTCTTGAGAGAGGAAGAGAGTTTGCTTTCTGTCGTGAGAAAATCTTCTTTGTCCTAGAAAATAAACCCTTTTGGTAAAGCTCGTTTTCTTACTGCACTGGACAGAAACCTCTGAAGTGGAATGTAGACTTTACATTTCCTCCCCGTAATCGTGACACTATCCCACGGTCTCAATCAGTTCCAAACTGAAGTTATCACATCGTGATCTGACAAGTTGTTAACTGACCCCCGGGTAACCGTTTCTTTTCATTTTTTCATTTTTTCATTTTCATTTTACTTCCTTTTATTGAGTATACAAAGATAGAATTTTCCAAGATGGGGGAGGCGACCAATCAAATGGGGGCTGCCATAAAGAGGAAGATGCGCATGGTCCGGATGATGATGATGATCGAAGTCGCGACATTCGTGTTATTAGCACGACGTTCTAACCTAACCAACTGAGTTACCGGGTCAATGAAAAGAAAACGATGATCGGACGAGGTCAAACTCGCAACCAGCAGTTCATTGAGAGAGGGGACGGGGGGACAGTATGGAATGCAGTCGTGCTTTCTAACTGAAATTTGTTCGCGGTCTGTTGTGTCTATTGAAAACGATCACGAAAAAAAGGGGGGGGGCGCGTATCTGAAAATAGCGATTAGCTGAACTCATAGCTTTAGAAAGTTTACTGGATGGGGTTTGCCCGTTTATTCTTTTTGAAATCCCATCGGCCAGTGGGAACAATTCTCAATAAGAGTAGATAATCGTTTCTCGTGAGATCAACCAATAGGGTGGCGGTTTCTACAGATGAGATTGCCTCATTTTCATGGCATCTCCAATTGCACGTATACATCTGCTGTGAAATCCAAAAAATGCAAGCGAATTCACTCGGGAGTATCAACGATTAACCAGATGACGATCACAGATATGGAGATATAGTCAACGATGCAATTTGAAATGAGGCATTCGAAATTTAGATACCACTGGATTGTGCGTGATGCATACATTGCTGTGAAAAGTAAAGTAAATTCTATGGAAATTAATAGAAGGATATGCTATCTCGGAATGTTATATGTAGAGGAGGACGAGGGGATGGAGAACTGCAGAGAGACAGAGAACTACTTACGTAATATCCAAACAGTCTTTGCACAGATAAACAACTCCGTTGGTGACAAATTCTTGGAGACAAGATGAGCAGATGATGCGTTGGCATTGTTCACATTGTCCTGTCCGAACGAACAGTCCAAATTTGCGAAAACAGAGTGGACATCGTTCATCTTTGCCCCGTTCGAACAATTTCTGAAATTTGGCTGACAGAGGGGTTGTAGACAGATCGAAAAGAGACTGTCGTTTGTTCTCAGCCTCCGGACCGTTGTTCATTCCATCGAATAGATCCCCGGTGTTCGGAGCTGACGCGGTGCCTCCAGACGAGGTTGTATACTCCAACGGTAGATTCATTGACTGGGACCGTAGAAATTGTGGTGTGGATGCGGGAAAACGATTTTGCGGGTCTTTTGGGAGAGCAACAGTTCCACTGAGGGATACCAGGCCGCTGCCTGGCACGGCTGGATTGTCTTGACGCATCTGGTCCAGTATGGGCGTAAGCAGTTCAGGACGAAGTTTTGCCGGGAATGATGAAGTCAGTTTACTAATGGTCACGTGATATTGGTGACGAACGCGAGGGGCGGGGGTTGGGAGGAGGACGGGGTGGCGAGAGGAAACAGTGAGACAGAAGATATTAAATATGAAAAGCGATACAGTTTATGCTGTTACTCATGCTCGATTAATATGCTTCAGCACCATTTTTTCATATGTTAAATGATAATGTTGGAATAATATTCAATGATAATCTTTATTAGTTAACTGAATGCCTTACTCATCTCAAAGCTACTGGACTTTGTATTCATACTATTACTATTACTACCAATACTACTAATACTACTGATACTACATATTATTTTGATAGATATGAACTAATAGGTCTGAAAATCTCGGTCCATTCTTGTTAGGGGACGAAGCAGACCGACAAATTCGTTTATCTTGTTAGTCACAAATGTCATTTTTCGTGCACAGTGCCTTCCTTATCGATTGATTCCATTGTTCCGTACACGTCCAGTTGGATTTCCCAATCTGACAGTCTCGAAACAGATTGGTCAGACACGCTGCAAAACATTTGTTGTCAGTGTTGGAATCGAGTGGTGAAGTACTCTTCTTGTTAATAAGCTCCTATCCTGATTGAAGTCAAGTTCTTGGAGTTCCAACTGTTCATAAATTCATGCCTAGAAAGTCAATACTATCCTCTGTATTCCGTTCATTTCATATTTTATCGGTTGGGTTATACAAATATGAAAAGATGATTGGCGCATCATTTGATGTGAGCATACATGTGCACTTGAGTTCTTAGTCGTGCTCACTACCCGGGAGAGGTTGGGGGATCATATACTGACACGTCTAAACTCCAATGGCGTGTAACAATCTGGTTGAATGTCCAATCACCCTAGAACTGGGAATGTAAATAGTGATTTGGATGTTTTTGTTCTCTGCCATATGTGTACTCAAAGCCAGTAGTAGTAATTCGTATTGATCCATTCGTCAGAAATTCGAATGACTAAAAGGTGCACAAAATTATTGTTGAAACCGTAAAGATCACGTGATCAATGGATCATGGAAAATGTCCCACGGTTTTGTCCACTTTTTTTTGTTTTCATTGTTCACTTTCGATCCGATACACGACATTAGACACAATATGTATCAATGCAAACAGAGAAATCTCAGAAATCGGCTAATTATCTACTTACACACATAAACCATAACAAATCATCATTTATTACCTCGTATGGATCGTTTTCCTAGCAGATTTTTTGCCTAAAACCGGTTCGAATGTTAAATTGTGTGTTCTTCGCCGGGTGCGGACAAGAAGGTTCAAACGTTCGAATCAATCAGCTCAACGACTGCGATTACACCGTCCGTTCAATCAATATTATTACTTCCCTAGTCTCGAAGAGTTGTCTCCTCTCCACGACCCCGGACAAATATGGCCATGGTCTCCCAGGCCCAGGAGCACGAAATGGCCCCATCAATTGATCATATAAATACAAACAAACAATGATCACCAGCTGGTTTCATACCAGATTGTTGTCGGATGTCATTGCATTTGGGCGCGTGAAGATTAGCATAGTGAAACATCCAGATGAGGTTCCGCGAATTTAGTGCATAGAATTGCATATTCAAGAATTTCCCGTATGGTTTTCAACAATGATACTTCAGGCGGTGTTTACAACGAGCGCACATTTATTGTTCATTCTCATAAACAGAGAGAGAGAGACTACCAGGTTCACTTGACATATTCACTGCCAATTTCTCACGCTCTAATCCACGCACCCAGATAGTCCGAAGTTGTGGTTTGGGTGCGGTTAATGCAGAGGACGAAGGAAAAGCTAATTTCATTGAAGAAAATTGTCTTCACAATGAATGTTTAATTCTATATGATTTTGATAAACCAGGCCAGCAACAAAATCACTAGCTAAGGGAGGAGGAGGAGGACTTTAAGTGTGAAGATGTAACAACAACAACAACAACAACAACAACAACAACAACAACAACAACAACAACAACAACAACAATAACAACAACAACAACAACAACACATTTAAATCAACACAAATGAATTAGGGATTTTGCTTGAGAATTATGTGTACAAGCGAAAAATGCCTATTATGCCAGTTTGAAGATCAATATTTTCGATTGCGGAACAAATCCGCGACAAAGCGCACGGGCATTGACCTTCCCACAAATGGATTCAGTGAATCAATCACCTGTTGAAATTGTTAGAGAAATCAGTCTTATGTCATAGTAACTGCTCAAACTTCCAAGTGGTCTTCTCACACCTTTGCACAAACTAATCGATGGTAATGGATGTGTGCGTGTGTGTGTATGAGTTCTATTCTCCAAGATACGTGTTTTTTTAATTTTCTTTAAATTGTATGGCATGAACGAATTCACATCTGATGCAGGGACCATGACTGTACTCATGCTGTTGACGGTGACATGGTAGCGGAGCACATTCCAGATGACACCGAGAACACATCCGATTCGAGAGAGAGAGAGAGACTGTATTTGACTCCTTCCTACGCACACACGCGTACACATAATACCGTGCTATTGCCTAAGCTTCTCTGTTGCCATTACATCATATGGTTGTTTAATTGTTTACGTTGTCTGTTGGTAATTGTTTGAGGACTGTTCTGTAGCACAAAAGTACAACTGAAGACGTAGAAGGAGAAGAAGAGGCGATGACAGGCATACACACGCACAAACACCGGCCGATAACTTTCAATTTCCCACAAAATGACAAAATAACACATCCTCCTCACGCTCCCATTAAAATCGTTGACTTGTGGTATGATCCTGTCAGGTTGATGCAGTGTGCAACACCTATTCTCTCTCTAAGGATTCTAAGGAAAACCAGTCGTGGGGGCAATCAGCTGATGAGCGATACCTGGTGAATTCCAAACACTGCTGTAAGTGGGATGGGTAAATTGGAATGTGAAACGTTCAGTGCAGTCAGTGCTTTGTCCGTGTGTGGTCTCCTCGTAGCTCAGCTGGTCGGAAGCGTGCGTTGTACAAAATGCGTAGGCGGAGTCCATGTGTGGGACTTGGGGTGGCGGGTGTGTGTAGGCTGGCCGAATTCCACCTGGGCTACTGACCTGTTCATAAGTTTCAACATAAAACTGCCATCTGCCAAGCCTCAATTTATTTTACTATTTTAGTTCCATTATATATATATATATTTACCACTAGCTCGAAGACAACCATGGTGCCAACGCAACAGCAATGATAACAATAACAATAAAACGGGATAGGTTGATTGGGGGTACAGAATATAATGAAAATGCAGGATAACATAATTTTTTTGTGTGTTTCACCGTACACCTTTTGCAATTTTTGTTGTTCTTTTTTTCACGGGGCACGGGGTTTCGACGGACAGACCGTACAGCATTCGCACCACTGACTTCTATTCCGGGCCATATCTCTCAGCGTCTCTAACCAACTACAATTCTCATCCCTTGGGCCCCAACCTGAAAGGCGGGCTGCCCCAACGGAAGCCAGAGCTGAAGCCAGCTTCTTCATTCCTCTGCACCATGTCATGGTCTGACCGCCGCGGCGATTCTTCCAGCCTTGTCTGGCACGTGCGAAGAGAGCACGGAAAGGTAGTCCATGGGCAGGCATACGCAATATGTGACTAAGCCATCGGAGGTGGTGTGGATCAATTACTTCTGTTAGAGAACGACTATCCGCACCCAACACACGACGACGGACCTCGTCATTACTCACCCAATGTTCCCACCAGACACGAGCAATGCTTCGGAGACATCGGTGGTCAAATACAGAGAGTCGATTAACATCCTCCGCTCTGGGAGGCCAGGTCTCGCAACCATAAAGCAGAACACTACGCACTGCGGCGATGTACACCCTTCCATTATGGGACAGGCGGATGTCATGGCGGCACCACAGGTGTCGTAGGTTGGCGAAAGCTACTCTAGCTTTTGCTATTCGTGATATTATCTCGTCCCCAACACCACCATCAGCTGCGATCAAGCTCCCGAGGTACTTAAAGTTCTCAACTACTTCTAGCTGATCACCATAGAGGGTGAGTGCAGGCACAGGCTCCTGCCAGTCTCAAACCAGCACTTTGCACTTGAAAGGTGCAAAGTACATATCATATCTAGATACCTCGATTGCCAAGCGGTTCAAAGCCTCTTGGGCTGCCTGTGTGTTGTCACCAAACAAGGCGATGTCATCGGCATATTCTAAGTCATGGACTCTGTTCCCTGAGAGGAGTTCGACTACACCGTTTGCTAGACCGAACAAAGCATTCTGTAGAACATCCTCTATGACAAAGTTGAAAAGGAAT